TTCTTCTTCTTCTTCTTCCCTTGTTACCTCCAGGCCTCTCTCTAAACCCGGGTCTAATTTAATCGCCTGTCTATACAGCCCAATTGCGCCAGCCAGCCGCCCCTGGTTTTCAAACTGCACTCCTTCATAAACACCACCACACAAAATATATTCCCCACAAACCCTAGACTCTAAACACTAAACCCTAAACCCTAAACGTCTTGTAGCACAGACTTATTTGCACGTGACCACAACTACATTCAAACAACGGGCAAACGAACGAACACAAGCAAGCATGAAAATACAAAGACGAACAAATGCAAATCGACGTCTCATGCTGCCCCAACGTAACCGTCGGCAGGCAGCGTTGAGACTGTAGAAGAAGGGAACGGGGATGTTCACGCTTTATTTTATTGTTTGTCTTTCTTGCTTGTGCATTTATGTTAATATGTGCTTCTTCAGTGGGTTTAATATTGAATAGTGGTTCCTGCTGCACCTGCTTTGTAGAGAGCAACAGCTACGGAGGTAAGGGAATGCCCCGGCGAGTCGCAGGAGCTGGCGGGAGAATGGCGGGCCCGAGGAGAAGAAGGAGGAGGCGGAGAGGGGGTGTTTGAAGAAGAAGAAGAAGAAAAGTGAGATGAGTCTGCAGGCGAGTTTGGCCGCTGGGCACCGCCGGGTGTCTGTACACCCGAGGCGGTGTTGTCCATGCTATGAACTAATGAAGAAGTTTATTTGTTTTTTGTATTTAACAAAATGAAGGGATTTAACCGGTGTAAACGCAGATGGGAGCCGCATGCCACTCAAACCTAAAAGCAGAAGAGAGGGGGCTAGCTGGCATCTCTTCGTTCTGTTTTTTAAACGGACAAATTCGGTCGCTTAGATCTACATATATGTTGGCATTAAACAAATTTATTTACATCTATTTATCTACTTTTAATTTACTCTTTCAGCTGTTTCTGCTGCTGCTGCAGCAGTGGGGTGGCGGCTGCTTCTGTGTAACGGCAGCGGCTCCTCCGCAGCAGCTGCCAGCAGATTTGTTCTACGACTATAAATGAAAAGAAAATATTATTAATTGTTAAACTAATAATTAAATTAAAATATTTGAACGCCGTTTGCACTAATCATTAAAAAGCAGGATGCGCAGATTCAAGGGGCTGTGTTTCTCAACAACAATTGTGTGCCTTCCCGCGCAGATAATCGTTTCTATGAACGGAAACAACATAATAAGTAGATTATAAATAAAATATAATTGAATATTGCAATCATTATATTTATCATATATGTACGCTCATAAGAAAAATGAATATGCTGCGCATTTTAAGATCTCAAGTAATAGTATTACTAAAGCAATAGGAAGTCTCCTTCTTGTTTCTGGATTATTACTACTATAAATAACGATAAACAACAATGGGCAAATATTACCATCGTAAACAACAAGAACAACAAAAAGGCAAAGCTTTCTTCAGGCAGAGCAGCAACAACAAAAGGCCCTGATGTTGGTGTTGCTCTTGCTACTGCTGCTGTTGCTGCTGCTGGGTGGAGGCGGGAGAGACAAACGAAGAGACAAAAGGAGAGGCAGAATAGACGGAAGGAGTGCTCGTTCAGACAGAATGAGGCACAGATAAAACAGAAGAAGACATATATAGAAAGGACAGAAGAAACCGAAACAGAGTCGGAGAGACACAGATACTGTTCAGATGTTTCATACAGCAGCAGTAGCAGCAGCAGCACGTGTTGGTTGCTGCAGCAGCTGCTGCTGCAAACCAACAATAACTCCACCCGAATGCAAGGATGGTATTAAGACCCTAGCGCATCCTAAACACTATACCCTAAATCCTAAACACCAGAATGGACACACGCAAGCACACATGCACACCCTGGTAAATAGATAACTGTCGGTGGTTAACACACCCCAGGCCCTTAAAATGCATCCTGCCTGCCTGCTTCCATGCACGCAAAAAGAAATACAATTAATAATATCTGCTTCCGACAGAAGCTTCCCCGTGTTCATTCTTCTGTTTCCTCTGCTTTCGGGTTTTTTTCTCCTGTGTTTGAATCTTTTTATGCTGCTTATTTATCTATTTGCGTCGTTTGTTTGCTTGTTTGTTTGTTAATTTGTTTGCTGATTTGTTTGTTGATGCACGTGGTGTTCCGTCCATCGCTTCGTTTCTATCTTGTGCCACGAGCAAAAGACGAACAAACAAAACAGCTGCCTCTCTCTATATACATATATGTACATAAGCATATATATATATATATATATATAGAGAGAGAGAGAGAGAGAGAGCGAGAGACAAACAGCAACTCACAACCTCCCAATTCTTCAGTTGTGTCCAACAAACGACAAAACCCTAATCCACCGGCAACAATAAACCCCAGACCCTAAACCCTAAACCAGAAACCCTAAGCCTAATCTATGCCTTATGACAGCCAGCAGCAAGCGGTTACAGGCCTTTACCCCGTGGCTCTTAATGCCAAACCCTAAACACTAAACCCTAGAGGAAACAGAAAGCGGAGCCTTCGCGATTCGCTCGATGAGGGGCGTAACAGCTGAGTGAGTGCTGATATACGGGCGCTGGTTTCTTAACTGAGTTTATTTTGTAGGACTGCTTGATAAATAAATATAAATAAATACGTGTTTATTTATTTAGAGAAGAAAATAAACTAAAAGGGGAGTCATGCACTGAACTCCGCAGCAGCAACTCGCCGTCTACCAACCCTCTGTCGAGACGAGGAAATTTTCAACAAACCCAAAAACGAAGAGAAAATAAAGGACAACCAAAAAGAAAACTGATATTCGCAACTAAACGACGCGTGCAAATGCAGAACGAAGCGGAATATACTGACGGATATCCGCACCATGAATGCAATGTATGTCCTCAATGCATGCACGCATATTTATGCATGAATGCACTCAATGCATGCATATTTATGCATGCACTCGATGCCTGAATATTTATGCATGCACTCAATGCATGCGTACTCTTGCATGCATGCGCGCATGCATACTTATGCATGTACTCAATGTACGTTTATATATTTATGCACGCATGCGTTGCATGCACTTTTTCTATGCACTAACAAGTGTATGTACTGCTGAACAGAAGACAGTTTCTGTTGGAAATGTTGCGAAGTGAATGCGCTGCTCTATTTTTATTGCCAAGCCAAAGGCCTTCAAAAGACATTCAAGAAATACATCAAACATTAAATGCAGACAGAAGATTTTAACCTCTTCGTTGCGGTATATATATGTGTACATATATATACATCTGCATGCATGCATCTATGAATGGCAGATACACGTATATATACATGCACATATCTAGATACATTTTTGTACTTACACACACACACACACACATACACATACACACACACACACACACACACACACACACACACACACACACACACACACACACACACGCACACACACACACACACGCACACACGCACACACACACACACACATACACGCGCACGGAAATGCAATATACACACGCATGTACATACAAGTATATATACATATATATATATATATATATATATACTGATGCATGTGTACGTGTGCGTACATGGGAAAGCTAAGCGGAATCGTTTTTGTTGTTTCTGGCGTTTTTACTTCGGGTGTCTGGGTTGCGGAGTTCTTCGATTTCTGTGCCCGTTCGTTTGTTGTCAGTACATCTTTTTTTAAAGTCAACTGCACCGGCGTAGTGCGGAGCCTCCAAAGAAGCGAAATATGCTCCCAGCACTTCTGTCATTGCTCTCCATTGCTGCAGCTTCGTTTGCAGCGTGCACAACACTGGAGATAAAGAAGATACAGGAGACGCACACAAACTCGACAAGACCTGCAGCAAAACGCAACAAAACAAACAAAGCTGCACGCGCTCCAATAACAGGGAGTTACTAACTAAAAACCTGTACCTATCTACTTGTGTACATCTAATATGCATATATATATATATATATGTTTATTGCATATTATAGACTGCGTATGTTATCTGCTCTATATGTGTCCTATATAACATATATATTATATATACTGTAAATCTATAATATATATATATATATATATATGCATAGATGCAGAGATACAACTTGTACGCAAAATGGCCTGCCAATGGTGACTGCACCGTACAAACCACGCGTTCGACATACAGGCCGCTAGGGTTTAAGGTTTGGGGTTATACTTCACATACAGAAAGACTAAAAAATATTACAGGCAATCATTCAACACATACATGAAAGGCAAACGCAGGTGCATATATATATATATATATACGTGCACTAGTACGACTATATATATATATATAGTCGTACTAGTGCACGTGTTTCTATAAGATATATACAAACATGGGCCTTTTGAGTGCTGATGTATGTCTTTATGCATTTATGTCATAAGCAGCAAACCAGGAGCGATGAAAGTGCTGCAATACATGCTGCATGCATGCACGCATGCATAGACACATATCTCTATGCATACCAGGGTTTACTGAGGTGTGTATAATAAAATACTTGTTTGCAGACCTGTTCGGTGTTATCGCCGAAGATGCGCCTAAGACAGCTGACGTGGGTTTGCTGAAAGAAGGAGGGCCTGACGGTGCAGTTTTTGCGTTCTTCTTCGGGGAACTGTTCCAATGCCTGTTTAATTGCTTCAATTCTTTTTAAACAAGACTCCAACAAGCAAACGCGCAAATCCCATTCATAGCGAGAATCCGCCAGAGTCAGCAGCGCCTCCTCGTGCCGATTCATCTGACGAGCCTGGCTCTCTGAGCTGTCAGGGAACAATGCCCATCTACAAACAAATAAGTAAACGAATAAATAAATAAATTATTAATTAATTAATTAACATAACAAGCAAACAAGCAGTCGTTAATGAACTAAGACGACAATTTGCTAGCAGGCACTCAGGAAACAAATGCAGAAAAAGGAGCAAGCGAACAATAACTGACGAGCAAACAAGCATAAAGGAACAAACAAGCATAAACAAACAAACAAACAATCTGCAACGAACCAAGAACAAGCATTAAAAACAAGCAAACAAATGCATACGAACGAATAGATAAACTAACGAACAATGATTTGAATCGCAAATCAACAACCTACAAAACAAACATCGCTAGCCGGCAAGCAGACGAAAACACACGCACATAAACAAGCAAACAGACGCAAACAAACAAATAGGCAGACAGTACAAGACAAACAATAACACTGCAAAACAAATGGTGAGGAACACCAACAAACAAGCAGCTAAAATGAACATACCACCACCTGAATATCTAAACAAAAAGCCACCCCCAGAACAAATGAACTCTAAATATTAACTCAATATTACCAGCACCAGCACTTAAATAGGGTCATTATCAATACTATTCGTTTCGGGGATATCTTTGCAAAACACCATAAGCTGTTGCACAAGAGACAGTGCTGATGGTGTGTCGTGCAGTGGTTTGTTCGTGTGTCTGTCTGCCCGTCTGAACTTGAGTAAACTACGGCAAACTGCTGCAGTAAAAGGGCTATAAAAGCTGCAATTAATGGAGCGTGAGTATATTCCAGAGTTGTTTCTAGTTTTGATAAGCAATTAGCATCGAAAAACGCCCCAAAAGAAGTTGTCAACGGCCTACCTATCATTGAGAACTTGCCACGAAAGAGCATCTCTTCCGCTGCAAGTGTCGTTGTTGCATTCATCAGGAAGTTTTCTATATGAGCCGTTTTTAGGCAATTTATCGTATTGTTGCCGCGTCAGCACCGGCCGGCTCTGCAACGGCTTCTTTTGGCTCTCCAAAATAATCACCAAACAACGCACTGCCTCTAAACACGAATGAGAGGATGCAACAGACGCACATAAAGAGGAATACACCTGAACAACACAACAACGCACACACGAACGAGAGAGATCATGCGCATAAGGAAGAATGCAAGTGACAGCACAGCAACTCATCGATCAGAACTAAACGCAAGGAATCAACACACGCGCGCTTCCTGAGATACGGGCATATGAATAAAGATACGCATGAACAAATATATATATATATATATATATATATATTACGTCTATGTACATATGTACATATGCATTCATACATATACATATTGAAGTAGTGGAGCATTCATGTAAGTACAAGACATTAAAGCGTCGGGGCTTTTCGTTTCCTGCAATGGCTGACAACCGGCCCTTTCCTGCCTTAACTCATTTGTTTAATGAAGTGGACATAAAAAATAGATAAAGATGAACAGCAGTAGTCATATATATAACACGACGCACGCCTACTACATTCAACGTGTGCATCCTTGCCTGCACTTGACATACACGATTAATAGGGCTATTACTGTTCTAAAAACTAAAGGAGTGGGAGACGTACGCCTTGGGGCGAGAGTTTTCCTGCGTTCCAGTTGTCAATGATGTGATAAATTGGCTGCAGGCAATTATAACTAAAAAGTTTTATCATCGTCTCCTGACTGCGATACCGCGAGGGCTCCACCGACTTAATTAATAAATCGGCAGCAGAATGAATTACATGAAGAGCGTCTGCAGAAAGGCACTTCTCCTGCTTCTGCTGCTCCTCCTGTTCTTTCTGCTGCGGGTGCTCCTGCTGCTGCTGCTCCGCCTCATCCTGCTGCTGCTGCTGCTGCTGCTTTGATGATGCATCAGCACAGCTGGCAACAACGCAATCCAATGCGTGTGCAGCCGCAGACGCCGCGGGGCCCTGAGGAAAAAAGTAAAGAATTAAACTTCGGCGGAGATGCTTAAAAAGTGAGGGAGAAACAGCAATCAAATGCATATATGCACACACATCACACCCAACTAAAAACGAAGCTGCATAAACGCAGTTATATACCGCGTTCACAAATGTAGTCATGCAGAAATGGCTGGGTAAGTGCAATTATACAGATTGTATAAGTGCAAATACATAATAAAAGTTGTTTGCACTGAAAACTTCAGATGGTTCTATTCACAATCCAAGGCATCGCAAATGCCTTTCTGCTGTTTTAATCTCAAAACTCGAAAGAAGAATGGAGAGTCACTAACAGCATGAAATGCAATTTCGATGTCCATTCCAGTTCCGCTGGTATCTGCGGTTTAAAGACAGGGAGAGAGACAAAAAAAAGAACAGGCCGGGCACAACTCACAGCAGCTGCAGACGCTTCTCCTCTTTCTTCTCTTCTTTCCTCCCCTCCCCTTTCTGCTTCAGGCTTTTGCTCTTTTTCTGCCTGCTCCGTTTTTGTGTTCATTTGTGAATTTGCTGATTCCTGTTCCCCTTTAAGGCCTTCGGGATCCTCTTTCAGCACAAGCGGATCTGCCGATATTTCTTTGGTTTTGTTTGCTATTGGGGCCGTTGCATCATCGTTGGTGTTTGAATAAGACGTCTTTCTTTCCTCTGTTGCAACTGTTGCGCTTGCTGCATTTTCTTCGCCGTTTGCTGTTCCTGCATCCTGTGTTGCAGGTCTCCCATTTGCTGTTTCTGCGTGCACTGCATCTGCAGCACTTGTTGTCGTTTCATTTGCATGGAGTTGAATGTCTTTAAACAGGCGGATCAGTACGCCGAGCTTTTCAGAGCAGTCAGGGAAGCGAAGGAGGAGACCGGCGATGCGCTGGAGAGCGAGAGAAGAAGAAATTTCTTTTTTTAAGGCCCTAGAAATGAGGTGATCGATTTCGATGCGTAAAGACAAAGACTGGCTCGCCACCCCGTGCAAAAACAAATCGCATAAATGCAACAAACCAACGCGCCGGTCGCAGCACGCAGCAGCTGAAGCCAGCACACAGAAGCAACAAACACAAAAGACCGATGAAGCAAGAATTAAACGAACGAACACACGCATCTTAATTCTACTCAAGCAAACAGAGAACCAAACAATTAATCCACTCAAAGGACAGACGAGTCGCGTGACAAAAGCCCTGTCTCTTCGTTCATGTCTCGTGCAACAACGGAAGAAAAAAAAGCAGGAATGAAACCCCTCTAAAGACCATTTGCTCTTGAAGAGTGAAGGACAAGGAAGAAGAAAGGCACAAGCCTCCTGCCTGACTGACTGATTGACTGCCAAGCCAAATATTCAACGCGCGGTTTGTCGTAGGCTGCTTGGTAATCGGTTGAGTTAAACAGCTCTGTTTCTCGTGTTTCTGTTTGCATGTGTGCGCGCATTTTGATTTTTCGCTTACGGTTTCGTGCGGCGAGTAGTTTAACGACGCGTTCAATTTCTTTGCTTCTTTGGATGTCTGTGCTGCAGATCGTCAAGACGAGTTGTTTGATGTCTCCAGCAACGTGCATCCAGGAAGAAAAGGGAGAGAAAACTCGATCAATTTCATCGCTGAAAGAAGAAAAGGCAAGCCGCTTCGAGAGGAACATCCGCACCAAGTGCAGAACATTCGATGCAAGAACTCGTGCCCGTTCTGCACAGCCCCCTGAAAGACCGACTTGATAAGCCAAGCGAAAGGCAGAATGAACCTGTTCACAGAACAAACACACGCTCTAAACATCACACAATACACAACAGACCCGAAAGAAACGACGCAAATACCACCAAGCAACAACCCTGCTACACGGTCAGCGCGCTTACTTTTCCCTTGCTGACCACGTCTTGCATATTGTGTGACTATGCAATGTGCAAGACGTGGTCAGCAAGGGGAAAATAAGTGCACCCGCACGCGCACACAAACACACGCACGCGCACACAAACACACGCACACGAATGCGCATAATATATACATATATTACATATATATGCATATATGCGCACCTGAACGGGTTCGTCATCAAATGGCTTGGCCAGCTCAAGCGCCTGATTTTTCCGTATGACTCCACCGTTTTTCTCGATGCAAAACTGTTGAACGAGAAGCTTTCGTATTGCACGAATTACGAGGGGATGGCCCCTGAAAAGAAGTTGCATGCGGTGAAGCAAAATGTCGCGACTGCCGCGCTGCGTCTTCTGCGCCATACAGCTTTTCAGAATGCTGTTGAATATCGCATACTTATCAGGGGCCATGTTCTGAATAAGAATGCACATAGCTGCTGCCGGGTTCCCCGCATGAATCAAAGTCCTGTCAGGGAGAAATAATGACATGCAAAGCGCTACATCTGGAGCGTCCGGAAAGGAGTTTCCAATAAGGAAGGCCAACTCCTCCACCCGCAATCGCTGCCGCTTCACATGCTCCAACACACGCCGCAGGGAAACCAAACTCTGAGGGCCACCAGAAAAACGCTTTGTCAGATACGCCTCAAGCTCGCTCCACATCAAATGAAAATCATCACTGGTAGCCTGCTCAGAAGGCGCAGCCTGAGGAGGCTCCTGCGCCGCCTCGGTCTTCACATGGGTCGTCGCATCCGCACCAGCAGTCGATGACTGGGATGGAGATGGAGAGGGATCCTCAGAACGAGGTGCACCCGATGGCAATGCAACGCTTGCTGCAGTTTGCCTCGCCACTGTTGGAGGGCCCATTCTTACCCAACTGTTCACCTTCCTCGTTGAGCAACAGTACGCATTACACAGGAAGTTCTGGTCCGCGGCGAATGGTGAATAACTGCGTCCTGGAGTCAACAAAGACAAACCATTACTTCATGGTGCGCTTACAATGAAACGGTACTGCGAATTACCCCCAGACAGCTGTAGGCACAATGCCGACTGGGGGCCGGCGACAGCTCATGAGCGATGCAGCCTCGAGGCACCGGAATCCACCCTACTAGCGGTGCTCCGTGCAGCCACTTCCTTTGCTACGAAGAATACAACATGACAGAATTCTGTTAAACCCTAGACGCAATAACTTTAAGCACGTAGGTGATGTCCTTCCAGATCCTCGAGCATGTCCGGCGGAAATGCAGCTGCGTCGGGAAAAGCCTCCATAGGTCTAAATTCAGCATGCATAGGAGAAGCAGAACGGCTCAGGAAAGTGAAATATCACGCTAGACACAGAACACTGGAGAATCCTTCACCTTGAAGGTATCACTGTTCGCCGAGCCCCACCCGGAGCGGTGGGGGTGGTGGCGAGCCACAGCCAGCGGCTGCTCCCTAGCCCATAAATGTGAACTAGAGAATGGATAAGCAGGCTTTTATTTCGAAATACTTTAGTATGCGGATAAGAAAGGGATCGGATTGTCTAGAGAGGTGATAGTTACAGCTGAGTCACATTAACCTGGGAGGCTCCTGGTTGAGGCGGTTGCCTCGAAACAATCTGTGAACAAGGCAGTTCTGCACACAGTTTTCAAAGCGTCAAGGATCAATTTCTAAATGTCACAAGCCTGTCGAACATGGAGACAAACGGCTAACTTTTTAACCTGCTCTCCACAACCGGCCGATTGGTGTGCCGACACACCCGTTGTACTTGTGTCAAATGAGAGTTGCTCGCTCAAACTGTATTCTTGACATTTTCATTGCGAATTTAAATCGTCGCTTTTTTGAAGAGATATCTGCTACGGTGAGTCGCTTTAGGTTTTTGGCGGCCGATTATGTGGAGCATCAAATAGCTGGCAGGAGGAAGCGACGCTCGCCTCCTTTGTTAGATACTCGTCCTGTCTTGTGTCATATTCTCAATTGAAAAATAATTTCACCTTTTCCAACTCTAGGGTAAGACTCATGGTGACGCCCGAGCGCATTCATGGGCAATTTTCCGGAATGATTGGGACAGTCGAGGCGTTGCCACGTGGAAATTCTCTCGGTGATCGCTTGATCCGTCGAGAAACAAGCATGCATGTGCCAGATACAGGCAGACGAAACTTGCAAATAATGGCAAAAAGTGACGATCGGTCACGGATTCGCCGGCACCACACTGGCGAGACAGCTGTGCGGAGCGGCGTTAACTTCAGGTGTATGTACGGTTAACCTTGATCGGCAGGGAAACAGATGAGTTCCTGATGTCGCAAATTCTCGTATTTGGGAAAACATTTAAGCCATCTGCCTGTGGTATCCGTATCTATTCCAAGAAACCATGAGGCGCTTCATCCCCATCGTCTGCTTCTCCCTTCTGGGCGCCCAGGCTGAGCCATTGCCGGCAAACAGCCCAGTGTGCGACGTTGCTGTTGAGACGGCACTGTGTCTGCACAATGCGGAGAAGATATTGATGCCTGATGCTCGACCATATGGTAAGCAAGTCTTGCTACACAGCGCATTTTCCCATTCAATTCGCATTCTCCCAAGGCATGGAGGTTCATCTAACATTCGATGAATCTCGTCCTCTCGACACAAGTGGCAAGAAGAACCACGGATCAGGCGAGGTCATGGCAGCAGCTGGGATCGGTGGTATTGGGAGCTCTGGCTTGTTCCGCAACAACTACGTATACGTCCCGAGCTCCGAGAGCTTCAAGTCGGCTGACTTCTCGTACACGTTTTTTGTTTACCTCCTTGAGGACGCGAAGTCAAGGTTAGTGCAAGCAGCATGTCCAAACCAAAAACATTCGCAGAAACTATTTGCATGTGACAGGTCAATAAACGAGCTGCATGACCAGTTCTGCCCCATCATGCACAAAGGCACCATGCGCGAAGATGTTCAAGAAGCCTCGCCAGCCCTCCTTGTGAATCCTCGTGTAAGGAGTCTCCTGTCATACACATATTGCGCATGGCCTCCATAATACTTGTTTTATAGGATGGACGCGTCAAAGTTGTTCTCGGCACCACTGGCAGTGCAGCACGTAGGGCTTCACACACAACGTCTTGCAAAGAACAAAACACATAATACCAAAATTTAGCTGGCAATGAGATGCAAAGCAACTCAAGACTTCGACCCCATCAGTGGTATCACCTTGGCCGTAAGCAAGCTTGCTCCACTACTGTGTCTTGAAGGTAGCCCTAATACGGTCTTGCAGTTGTTCGTCACCAAAACCGCATGAGGCTCTACGTCGATGGAATCCTTGATTCTTCTCTCACCACCGAAGGATCAACAAAGACCAATGACCTCCCTCTTTTCATTGGCAGTGCCCCTTATGCAGAGAATGTTTGCGACATGCCAATGCTTCTAGATGAGTTCCGCATGTTCTCATATGTAAGTTGGTCGTGACTTCCCTGCGTGACGTTATGGAGTGGAAGCAATGCCGATTTACAGGCACTTGGTCGTGATCACATCCAAGCTGAGGCCTCCATAGCCCTAGGTGGCATTGAGCCCTCATTCCTTCACATTGGTTGCACCAACTGCAAGTACGTTCAACTACAGTTTCTTTCGTAGAAATTCTGTCTTTTCACTCCCCCTTCAGCAAAGACGAAGCTGCAGAGTCGTGTGCCGACGGCTACCATCTATGCAGTACGCTCATTTTGTCAATTGCATCACGATGTACGCTTTCTATTCTTTGTTCCTTCAGACAAGCTGGAGCTCTACAACGGTGGCTTCCATGTGGCTCGCAAGCTTTCTCTCGGCACAGCGCTCGTCGCCGCCGGATCGGCGACCCCAGTGAGGGGCGCTGGCCTGTGCTGCACAGACGCATGAGCCGAAACTCCTCTGTTTTGAGTTTTCCGACTTCAATGTTTTTCACGAACAATCGCGAACATCCTTCTTGCATGATCGTGATCCCTCTACACGAAGTAAACTAGTCAACAAGTAGTCATGAGAACATTGCTATAGTTTTGGAAGTAGATCGTAGTCTAATTCGAGCACAGTTCGTGTTTGTAATCCCGGGTCACTTCAGCACGGGCGACGTAGGGTCACCCCAGCAGTAAGAGGATGTGGAGTTTCCTGGTTCAAGCAGCACTGCCATATATAGATTCGACCGATTAAAGGCAGGAGATATTTATTGTGAGAGGCCAGAAGTTTGCAATTAGATCCGACTTTGAAGCGCAGGGGACCACATCGCCGCGTTGACTGGGACATTCAGCAAGCTTAGCCTCAACAAATGAAGCCGTCGTAATTATTCTCGCCTGCTTTTTGCAAGAAGTGATTTCGGTACTAATTTCTACGTTTTTCCTGCATGTGTGTACGATTGGACTAGATGCGAGCGTCTTCGTAGTTGTGTTGAACTGTTGGGGCTTGTTCAGGTCCATCGTTTCTCGGCGCGAATCTTGCGAAATCAGCCGCTCACCCGCAAACATATGAACTCTTACACGTGATCATATTGGCTACGCAATTTCAGCTATTGGAAAGCTGGCTATGAAACTCGCAGGACGACGAAATGCGTCGTGACCTGCGTAGGAACCATGGCGCTCCACGCAGCTGCATCTGCGCCAACATGTGGGGTTAAGCCAGTAGACATGCAACAAAGCTCGGAACACAAGGGATTGATATGCAGCCCTGATGAAGACTGTGCGGAAGTGCCGTCTGAAGGGAGAATGCGTGACTTCCTCACATTTCTTGACGAAACGGCATCAAATGCGCTCTTCTGTGGCGACGAAGGGCAAAAACACTCCAACTCATCGGGTGATGGTACTACTACTGCAGGCCTCTTGTCCAAAATATCAGCCCTGGAGGTTGAGCTTGAGGATAAAGAGCACAATCTCAAGGCCTTACAGGAGCTCCGCGAAAGGGAGAAAATCCAAGAAGAAAGGTCCCGGAGACAGCTACAGCAGCAGATGCAAGGAGAATTGACTAGAACCACTGTGAGCATGCCAGACTAAAGTCTGTACTTCGGCTTCCGCATTTTGCTCGGCAAATGGACAAAATAGAATCCTCGTGCAACTACCATTGACTAGTACCGCGGCGGCATGCATCACCAGTTGCCTGGCCCTAATGCCTCTATCGTGATGCTGCGAGTAAGTGTCACGGTTTTATTATGATAGCTTGGATTTTGCTGAAGCAAGGACGGCTTCTCCATTGAGCAATTTCTGCAGGAAAAGTATGAACATCGATGCAGAAAGCAACAGGAGCTGCTTAGTCAACTTCAGGATGAGAAGAAGGGCATGGCATTGCGGTATGAAAGGCTTGCCGAGGAAATGCGCAACTTGGAGCGGAGGTTTAGGGCCAAAACGGCTGAGCTGCACAAGCAGTACGGGAGGGAGCTGGAGCGCCAAAGAAGAGCTTTGCTTTCCGGCGAAAAGGTGACCGTGACGACGAAGAAGATGGAGAATATTTCTCTTAACATCAGCTGTAGCGCATAGTAAAAGAAAAGCCGCCCTGAGCGGAGTGTCTTGTATGCCTCTCAGGGTAAAAATGCTCATATTTTTTCAGGCCCGCCGCGAAGCGTGGGCCCGAGAGCGGGCGCAAGAGATAAAAGAAATAACGATAAAAGGTTTAGAGCCCGAGATCCAAAGGCTAATAAACAAACATCGCGCTGAAAAACGGTGTTTAGAAGAAAAGTTGAGGAGGATACCGGACGATGTGCGTCTCCCCCCAAGAATGGTTTGGTTTCCTTTGTTCTTCTTGTTGTGAATTGTTGTTTGTGCGAGTGACATGCATTTTTTTGAGGAGTTACATTACTCTTTCTTTACTTTGAATTGCGCAGATGAAAAAACAACTGGAAGAAGAACTGGCGGCTCAGAAGGCGGTAGTGCAGAGGCAGATGGAAGAGGCAGTAGAAGTTGAGCGGAGTCAACACCGACAAGAAATACGAACGATGAAGGAGAGCTTTGAAGCCGAAGTAAGGAGAAAAACCTAAAGAATAAGAACATAATAATACCGCTATAATGGGAATAAGGAAACATTTGCTATTATGAAGGCTAATTCGGCATTCAGAGTACGGCAAAAACAGCGAAATGCAAACGGAAAACGCTACTCGACTCTAACTCTCTCTGTTTTTGTTTAAAGGGATCCATGGTGGTGCTGTTGTGTTTTTTTCGTCTATTTTTTCTTTATATTTGTCTATTTCAGCTCGAAAAGGAGCGCGAGGCCTTTGCAACAAAACAAAAACAACAGGCTGCTAAATGGGAGGCACAAATAGCCGACGGGAAGAAGCGGCTTCAAGGAGAAATAACGTAAAGAAGAAAATGTCTTCTCCTTGTTGTTTGTCTTGCAATTGTTTTGTTAGTAGTACATGCATACATTTTGTACTTTGTTTAGTATTACATATTCACAGTCCCTCCGCTCTTTATGCATTAATATTCTTTAGGCCTTTGAACCCTCCAAATAGTTGCGAATTTATTAACAAAAGGGTTAAGATGTCTTCCTGCAGATTTCAGTGAAGTGCCAGCAAGCGGGAAGCCGCACCTTTTTAGTGAAGGATATTTTTATTCGTTGTTCCTTTTTCTTTTCTCGATTTCACTATTATTGTCTACGTATTTCTTTTTTCTAATAATTTGTCTCGTTGACTGTCAGTGCTTTTTCTCCTTCTGCATGATCCCTCTCTTGTCTATTTCTGCTTTAAAATTGCTTCCCTTGGTTTAATTGTCTTTGTTTTTATTTTTGGTTTCTTAGAAAGGCACGAGAGGAAGAGCAACTGCGGTTAAAAGAGGTGACGGCGCAGTTGCTGTCGGAGTTGGAGCAGCAGCGAAACAAACATTTAAGAGAAATGCAGCAGACTGAAGCAGCCGCAAGGGCGAAGGCAGAGGAATTAAAAAATCAAATGAACAAAGAAAAGGAATCTGCAGTGCAAGAGGCAGCAGAACAAACGAAGAAGGAAATTCAAGCAGAGACGCACAAGTAAGAGCAACACTCCCATTCAAAGGAGAGGCACCAATTTGAAGCAGGCTAAAGCAAAATAAAACAGCTTTTGCTTTTAATCAACAACGACAAGGAGGTGAATGAAAGAGAATTTTACTTCCTTCTTTCTAACGAGCAATCCAACATGCAGTCGGAGGTTTTGTTCCTTTTTGCTGTCTTTAAACGCTCAACAGAAAGTAATAATTTATTCCCTGGGGTGTTGTGCTTACTTAGGAAATAAATAAATAAATAAATAAATAAATAAATAAATAAATAAATTTGCTTATTTATTTCTGCATTTATTGCTGGGCATTGTGGTGCTTTTCATGAAAAGGCCGGTAAAATACAATAATATTCCTTCGCATTCCTGTGCAGCGCGACACAGAAACAAAAATTTTGATTTTATTTCTTTTTATATCTTAAAAAATAATTAAATCGAATTGGTTAATAAAAATTTGTCGAAAAAAGACGGAATGCATTATGTGATCAACAGTGTTTGATGCCTGCATTCATTTTTTCTTGATCTCTTTTGTCCCTTGAGATATAAATATACACGTCCTTCATAAATCAAATGAATAAATACCAAATAAACTAATATATTTATTTTCTGAAATTAAAAAAATAATATTTGTTTAATGCCCCTTCAGGAAGATCGATCATCTACTCGCGCGCCTAAGCGAAGAACAGCTGCGTGCGGAGAAGATTTGGGGAAATCGCCTGAAGGAAAATCAAAGAGAAAACGAAGAAATAAAAAAAGAAATGGAAAAACAAAAACAAAAATTAGAAGCAGAACTCAAAGTATATATTAGCAAAGATTGACTACTAATTCATGCTGCTGTGCTGCAGTATACTGTTACTCAAACTCAATAGTTTGCTATTGTCAATACGAATACTTCCACCGTTATTATTCCTATTATTATTATTATTATTACTGTTGTTATTCTTATTCTTATTGTTACTACTTCTGTTGTTTTTATTCGTACTTACTGCTTCAGTTTCCACTGTTAATATTGCCGTTATGTCTAGTAGTATTACTACTACCCCTATAACTACTATCACCGTTACTACTACTACTATTAATATTTTAATTATTATTACTATTACTGATATTATTATTACCTAAGATCAGTATTACTTCCATTGCCACCGTTATTACTATTAATACCGTTAGTACTATTACTGCTGTTACTATTATTGCTGTTGGCGAGGTTACTACTATTACTATTATTTCTATGATTATTATTATACTTATTATTATTTTTATAACTATGATTATTATTATCACTACTCCTATTATTATTGTCTCTGTTATTAAATTTAAAACCAAAGTAGAAGTGGAGAAAGACGAAAAAGAGAAATTTGAATTTCTTTTTCTGTCTCCTCACGGCTCGTCGTTTGAACCCACACTTAAAAACAAAAAGAATGTAATAAAATAAAATTTTATTATCACTACTATTGATTTTATTTCTATGCTGATTACTTTTATTGTGTAAACGAAGACTTCTTTCGTTTTTTTCGTCTTTGCATTTGCATTTTGTTTACTTTTTTATTTCCTTTTTTCTGCTTTTGTGAAAAAAAAATCTTAACGCGTTTTTCGTCGTTTGTTTGCAACAACAAAAAAGCAATTAATGTTAATTAAATAACATTAATATTATTAGGTGATTATGTCGTTATTATCTAAAAATACTGTTATGTACGAAATACAAAAAAAACCATTCATTACTCCTGTATGCTTTTGTCTTTATTTCTAATGCATGCACAAATAGAAAAAGAGACAAAGCTAATATTATTAAGCAATAATAAAGAAAGTAAAGAAATAAACGATAGTAGAGTGTTGATTCATCCAAATAAAGAAAATAAGAAGCAAACATTTGTTCGAAAATAAATAGAGAAAAGAAAACAAAATGATTTAATTATATATATATTTTTGCTGTTTGTCTGCAGGCTGCTGCTGAAAAGGAGTTAGCGTTTGAACGGCAAATGTCGCGATTGGAGGCGGAGAAAGAAATTCAAGAAAATAATTTAAAAGAATTAAAAACAAAATTAAGCGAACTCGAGCAAAAAGCACAGGTAAAAATATAAAACAGAATAAAACCCAAAGACGACGCACTAACACCAGCAAGTGCTGCTCAACGAAGCAGCAGCAGCAGCAGCAGCAGCAGCAAAAGGAGCAGCAGCAGCAGCAACAGGATCAACAACAAGAGCAGCAGCAGCAGCAACAGCAGCAGGAGAAGACAGAAAAGAAGCACAAGGGAGACAGAACGTTTAACAATTAAAAACAAATAAAAAGGAGTAAAGGCAAACAAAACAGCTCAATTGAGATAAACAACGAATTACACTCAACTCGTAGAGCGATACCGATGTTTTCTTTTTTAAACAAACACAAAAAAACTAATAAATACAATAAAAGAAAGAAGGAAATGAACAGAGTATTAAATGATATTAATATATTATTAATAGTAATATTATTAACATTAGTATGATTAATAATATTTATTACTATATTGATATTATTAACAGTACTATTATGAATATTAATACTATAAATATAATAATAATATTATTATATAACGTGTTAATTAAACGCATGAAACAATTTATTAGTCAAAGGCGGCTTCGCCTTTTCGCTGTTTTGTTTGAAGGAGATTGAAAAAGAAAAAACAACAAAAACAGAAGAACTCAATAAAGAGTTAATTCAGGAGAGAGAGAAAATGAAGGTAAATTAATTAATTCGTTAAATTAAGATAAAGACAAATTAAATTACATTTATATTTATATTTATATTTATATTTATATTTATATTTATATTTATATTTATATTTATA